AATTGAAAAATTATAGAAAAGATATATATATATACAAATAAATAATTAACTAGTTAAATTATTGTTATAGTTAAAATTAAATTAAAATTAAAATTAAAACAACAAAAAACAAAAAAAAGAAAATAAATAAAAGGAAGTGGCCAATTGCCACTACCAATTCTGGCTATAATAGTGCACCAACCACAACCCCTACGTATCAAGATCGGTCCTTGCAGCACATTGCCCATTCCACACCACAAGTGGCCAAATCTCCAATTGATTCTTTTTGCAAGACAAAAAAAATTCATAGATTAAAAAAAGAAGAGAATCACCTATTTTCAAGAGAAGATTGAGCACCCATAATAGTTTTGGATCCGAATCCCTGTATCCTCTTTCATTAAGCCCCATCACCAGACCATCCCAATATCTAGTTTTGCCTTTAATACAGCCCTTTGGCAACACCCATTACACTATTCCTTGCCTACAAAATACCAAAACCCTAAGCTACCACTTTTACCAACATGGCGCTATGCTGGCCTCGGCCTATATGCACGTAACAACATAGTCACCCCTACTTCACTAGAACCATACCCTGCCCATGTCAACCTGAATCAAACCTCTTTACTGGCCTATCCCATTCCCATAAAAACCACAGCCAACCCTCTAACCCTTTATTCTCGAACCAATACCAACCACACCCATATCTTTGCTTACAAACTAGCCTTTGCACACACTAACCGATAAGTTTACTCACTTGGCACATTGCTTAGCCTAAGACCAGTCCCCATCAAGCCACCCACCAGTAACATTAACTACTTCCAACTCAACTTTAATCACAAGCACCGAGTGCATGCCCTAACACCCTATTGCGAGACCTTAAACTTGATCTCCCTATAACCTTCGGAGCATAGTCCCTATATTTCCAAGACTCAAACAACTCTAGTGCCAAAACCACACGCACCTTCATCATCCCTCAACACTTCATTTGAGCCTCGATACAAACCCCATTGAAACACTAACCAACCAAAAAAAAAATCTACAATACCAACCCTTACGAGCCTTAGCTCCTTTTTTGCATGATCTAGCCCTAGCCACCTTTCTTCCAAAACATTAGTAACCCAAAACGAAGTCATCGAACTAGAACCAAAGCCCCAGCCTCTAAGAAATCCATGGAAGCCAGCCCTAGTCCTCTCTTATTCAACCCTTCTCTAGCATCTACCTAGGACTTGCCCAACCTCCAGTTTACTCTAAACATTAATAGCCCTAAACTAGTCCTAGCGACATAGGCCCTTTCATAGCTCTTGTTACCATTAGATTTCCATGGCCCTCATACGTCCTAAACCCAGCACCCTTCTCTAACCTAGAAATGCTTCTTACAACTTAACCTATCTTTGTCACCCAGCTAATCATCCACCAAAAAAATTATAAAAAAATATGAAAAAAAACACAATCCTCTCCTGAATGAGGAACCTAGTAGCATCATGTAGCAATGGCAGCCTGTGGTGGCAGCATGATAACAGTTCCCTAGATTTTGGAAAACCAAGGGCAGTTACTGGGGTTTATGTTTGAAGTTTAAAAGAATATAAGGTTTTTTTTTTAAGGATAGATGCTAGAATGAAATAAAAAAATATAGGTTTTATAATTAAAAAAAGGGAAAGTCGGTCAACACAACCCTGTTGCTCAAACTGGACTGATGACCTAGTGCCTGTTGGCTCGACCTATGACCTGTGAGTTTGGTCTAGCCCATTTGCAGTAGACTTGGCTTTGGACCATTTTTTGGACTTTGTTCTTGTGCTAAACACCAAAGTGTAATAAGGTATAATTACTATTACTTTTGGGCCATTTTATCATATATGATCATTTACTCAAGCATGCATGCTAAAATATAATAATAATAATAAGTTTTAATTTAAATCAAAGATAATCTAAAAAAAAATTAGTTCATGGATATATATATATATATGTATGAAGTTTTATGATGAATTAATTAAATGAAAATTTTCAACGAAAACACTTTGAAAAATCTGAGTAGTGATTTTCGATGGTGAAAAATATTTTTTAAAAATTACCAACGTATTAGAATATTTAGAAACTCTTTTCAATATAATTTTTTTAATTTGAATAATTTTCTTAAAACAATATATAAATATTTATACGAGCATGCATTTTTTTAGTAAATAAATTTATTCATGGTTCATTATATTATTATTATTTTACAACTTTTAAAAATTAATAATAAAAATTAAATGAAAATTTTTGATGATGAGACTTCGAGAAGTCTGAGTAGTAATTTTCGAAAATTCCTTTAGGGAGAGAATTTTTTAAAAAATATTGCTAAAGAAATGAAATATTTAGAATGATTCTCAATACAAAATTTTTATTTCTAAAAGCAAATTTCCATGCAATAGCATCACGGATTAATTCATATGCATTATTATTATTATTATTATTATTATTATTATTATTATTATTATTTATACTGATTATAAAAGAATATAAAATCTTTGAGGATGAGGTCTTAAAAAAATCTTAGTAGTGATTTTTTAAAAATTTTTATGTAAGAAAATCTATCTAAAATACTACTAATGTATTGAAGCATTTAGATTAATTTTCAATAATTTTTTTTTATAAATGGCATAAAAATGAGTTTTAGAAAAATACTATTTATTTTTAAAATTATAGATATCATATTTTATGTGTTTTAAATATAAATATTGAAAATAAATATGAACCACTGAGAATAAGATTTTTGAGAATTCTGAGTGGTGATTCTTAAAAATTTCTTAAGTAAAATGGTTTCTTTTAATATTGTTAGTATAATTTTAGGAATTTTTCAATATGTAAGGTTTTTTTTTTTTTTTTTCAAGCATACTGAAAAACAAAAATATGTTTTCGAAGAAAATTAAGGAAATTAAATTTTAAATACCAAAATTACGACCCTTTTTAATTAAAATTAAAAGATAACACATAATTAATTAATACCATTTTAAACAGACACTGTGGGGGGCTAATCTGTCCTCATGCTAAACCGACTCCTGAACCCAAATTATTTTTGCAGATTCGAAAATCATCTTTTTAATAAATTTTAATTAGTTTTAAAATTTTAATAAGAAGATAAGTTTTAATAAGTGATTAATCACACTTAACTAAAAAATATTAGTGATGACTCAATTATTTGTTTTCAAATTCGTCTAACGATCTCCAAAACTGTTATGACATTCTTTGTGAGAACAATTTGTCGAGATGAACACTTTTATCAAGTTGAGTTTTTATGAAGACAATTTATTGGGATGAACTTTTTGTCTAAGCTGAACCTTTATGAGGTAATTTGTCGAAATGAATTTTTTTGTCGAGTTGGGCTTTAGCATTTATGCTCTGATACTCGAATCAATTAAATAAATGAGAAGAGGAAGAATTTAGAGATAAAAATAACTGAGTTAAGAGAAAAATTGGCTTCCTTACTTAGAGAAAGTGAGAAGATATTTATACCTTAGAAATTGGCAACTTGCCAAACTAACAAGGGGAATGTGCTGTTGATTTATTATATTCTTCTATTTAACAGAAAAATATTAATGTATTAATTAGTACTTTTTATTATCTGTAATTTAGCGATTTTCTCTAATCATGTTTAGACAAAATCAATCACGGCTATACTTTAAAAATATAATCTTTCGGCCAAGTCTACAAACTTGGTGAGGTCTTGGTCACTTTGGACCTTTTAATTACGTACTTTAATGCGAAAAAAATGCTCAGAAAAGCCAAATAAAAATTTACTGAGCGGCGACGTCGTTTAATCACCAGATGGGCCTAGGTAAAACAATTCACATTTTGGCAAAAAGAGCGAGGGCACATGGTGGGGGAGGATGCTTTTATTCTCTGATGTATTAGATAGATAATATAGTATAGTTTATTTTAAACAAATTATTAGCTTTATTCCAAATTAAGGCTTATAAAAAAACTGATCCATTAAATTCTTTCTTTCTTTCACATTTAAACAGTTTTCTTCGTCTTTTAGTTTATTCTTTGACCATTTCTTCGTCTACGTTCGTTGACGCCAAATTTATATAATTTGCTAAAATTTCCCAACTTTTTTTCCGTTTTACCTATGCATTAAACCCCAAGCATAAAATTATTTCCTCTACATCTACTGAAATTAGAGGTCATAATTGGACTAAATGAATTTAGATTGGATCACGATAAATTTGATAATTTTGAATAGAAAAATTTGAATCATTTCATATTCATATTATTTAGATTTGAATTTTTTCAAAATCATATTATTGACTTGTAAAATTTAATAATTTAATTTTAAATTAGTCTTTAAAATCATTCAAATTATTCGAATTTGAGTAATTTTAAACTCAAATTAATTTTTATTTAAATCATTTTCAATTCACACTATTTTTTTATCAAATCAAATTAGATAAGATTATGAAGGGTTGGATGTCGAGTTCAATAAGTCATGTTAGCTCTAATTGGAACATTATAATAAAAAAGCGGATTATAATTTTACTTTTTATTCAACAAAAGTTTGATAAGGGTAAAAAATGTGGTCGGCAGTTCTTTGATTGTCATATGTAACATGAAACAATACAAGTTTTTTAATTTTTTTTCCAGCTCTACCATAATTTAGCTTTCTTGACCAGGTCTTTTCTCGGTAAAATTATTGCTAATTACTATGTTGCAGTGAATCAAATTATGTTGATAATTTATTAGCAATGTAGACAAGAAATATGCTACGTTTTATCAGTTTTATTTGGCATCGTGAAAAACGCAGGCAGAAGTTGAAGTGAAGACTTTGAAATGGTCTCAGGGGAGACAACGCGGATCATGAGCAATCAGTTTCTCTATCTTTTGGATATGTAATTTTGAATATATTTTTCATGTTTCATATCATCCAAGTAAACTAATGGTATTTGCCTTAGCTAAAGCAAATTGCAGGTCACATCCAACTTTGCATCTTTTGGAATCTTTTGATAAAGTTGGTGCCAATAAATAAAGGCCAGAATAGACTTCACTGTTAAAAGTCTTCAACTAGGTGTCTATAAATGGTAATACCACTACTGATTTTAATTGCACATCCAAGAGTTCTGGAACCAAACAGTTGAGACACTAACAATTATTATGGGCTATATTTCAGAGGGTCTGCTTTATTTTCTCTTACTGTTTTCCCTCGTGTCTTCGGTACAGTCGTTGTGTCACCCTAATGAGCGCTCAGCTTTGCTGCAGTTCAAGGAAAGCTTTGTCATCAATAACTCTGCCTCAAGTAGTAGTGATGCCTATTCGAAAACTGAATCCTGGAAACTGGAAGAGGAAAGTGGTGATTGTTGTTGGTGGAAGGGGGTCGACTGTGACAACACCACCGGTCATGTAATCGCCCTTGACCTTAGTAGCTGTTATCTCTATGGTTCAATCAATTCCAGCAGCAGCCTCTTCCGTCTTGTTCACCTTGAATTGCTTAATCTTGCAGACAATGTCTTCAATAATTCTGAAATTCCTTCAGAGATCAGCAATCTCCAAAGACTCAGAGTTCTAGACCTCTCCTACTCTAACTTCTCTGGTCAAATTCCGTCAGAAATCTTAGAGCTGTCAGAGTTAGAGCTCCTTGATCTGTCTGGAAACTCATTGAAGCTTCGGAAGCCAGGTTTGAGGTCTCTGCTTGAGAATTTAACCAATCTTAAAGAACTTCGTCTTGCTGATGTGAGAATTTCTTCTTTGGTACCTAATATCTCTGCAAAATTTTCTTCATTGACAACTTTAATTTTATCAAACTGTGACTTGCGTGGTGAGTTCCCGACAGGAAATTTTGAGTTACCAAGTCTTCAGTTTCTCAGCCTGCAGTCTAATCAGGAACTTACTGGATGTTTGCCTGATATTCAGGGCAGTCACCCTCTTTTGAAATTAAGCCTTGCAGACACGAGTTTCGCTGGACAGCTGCCAGAATCAATTGGAAACTTCAAGTCCTTGGAATATTTGGACTTCAGCAACTGCAATTTTTCAGGGAAGGTACCATATTCAGTTGGTAACCTTACTGAACTAAACTATCTTGATCTGTCTTCTAACAACTTTTGGGGACCTATTCCTCCTTCAGTTGGGAACCTAAACCAGCTCACAACTTTGGATTTCTCTTCTAACAACTTTTCTGGTGAGATCCCTTCTTCCGTAGCCCATCTTACCCAACTTGTTTATCTGTCCCTTGCCAACAACAATTTCAACCCTGGAACCTTGTCCTGGCTTGGTAGCCAGACAAATCTAGCGTACCTGGATTTGACAAACACCAGTTTAACTGGTAACATCCCATCTTCTCTCAGAAATTTGACCCAAATTTCTACATTATATCTTTGGGCCAATAAACTAGATGGTCAGATTCCACCTTGGATAGGAAACCTTACCAAGCTAACTGAGATCAAAGTCCAGGAAAATATTTTGAGTGGTTCTATTCCGGAATCGATCTTCAACCTTGAGAATCTTGAAGTTCTTTATCTACAAAATAATCAACTAAATGGAACTCTTAAGTTGGACTCATTTCTTGAGCTTAAAAATCTCACCAGACTACAACTTTCAGGAAACTACTTGTCACTGCTCACCAATGTCAGCACCAATGGCACTCCTCCAAAGTTCAACCTTCTAGGATTGGCTTCATGCAACTTGTCTGAGTTCCCAAGCTTCCTGTCTGGTCAAGATGAATTGATGTTTTTGGAACTTTCTGAAAACAAAATTCACGACCAAATACCAAATTGGTTCTGGAGCGTGGGAAAAAACACTCTCCAGTACTTAAATTTGGGCTTTAATTTTCTGACTGGATTTCAGGAGCTTCCTGTTGTTCTTCCATGGACTAGCTTAGAGGTTTTCAGCCTCGAATTTAACAAGTTGAAAGGATCACTGCCCCATCCACCACCTTCCATCATCTCTTATTCAGTCTCCAATAACTTTCTGTCAGGAGAAATCCCACCAATGCTCTGCAATATTTCTTCTGTTGCGGTCTTGGATTTGTCTACTAACAACTTGACCGGGATGTTGCGGCCATGTTTAGGCAATCTAAGTGACTCTCTGAAAGTTCTCAACCTTCGACATAATCACTTCACCGGTGCCATTCCTCCAACATATATGAAGAACTGCAGGTTGAGGATGATGGACTTGAGCCAAAATCAATTGCAAGGAAGAATACCAAGATCATTAGCCCGTTGTCCCGAGTTAGAAGTTCTAAATCTTGGCAACAATCTGATAAATGATACCTTTCCTTCATGGTTGGGTACTCTTCCAAAACTCAAAGTTCTCATATTGAGAGCAAACAGATTGCATGGTGTGATTGGGAAAAGTCTTGGCAAATCAGAATTCTCCAAGTTGCAAATAATTGACCTCTCCGACAATAGTTTAAGAGGTAATTTGCCATCTCAGTACTTCAATATTTGGAATGCCATGAAAGTTGCCAATACAAACAACTCATCACCATACATGAATGCAAATACAAGCTTCCAGAATAAAGAATTTTTGTGGTCTGATTATTACAATTATGTAGTTACATTAGCAAACAAAGGCAGGGACCTAAACTATGAGAGTGTTCCAGATTCCATCTCAGCTATTGATTTGTCGAGCAACGAGTTTCAAGGTGCAATTCCTGAAGCCATTGGTAATTTGAAGCTCATTCGTATGCTTAACCTTTCAAATAACAATCTCACTGGTCATATTCCATCATCATTGGGGGAAATTTCGAACCTGGAATCTTTGGACCTTTCTCGAAATAAGCTCTTGGGAAAAATCCCTCCTCAACTGGCCAAACTTAACTTCCTGGAAACCTTCAACGTGTCTTATAACAATCTTGAAGGACCAATTCCTCCTGGAGCACAGTTTAATACATTTAACAATGATTCATATGAGGGAAATTCAAGATTGTGTGGCTACCCTTTGTCAGACAATTGCGGAAATCCTGAGCCATTGCCACCAACTCCATTGGCTCCCCAAGAAGATGAAGGAATCGGGGGTGCTCTCAAGTTTGGTTGGAAAATTGTTTTGATAGGATATGGAGGTGGGCTAATAATTGGAATCTCTCTCGGATGCAACTTCACTGCAAGGAAACACGAGTGGTTGATGAAGTTCTTCAGGAAGGGGCGAATGAGTAAGTAACAATTGGAATAGCTCTGATTGCTACGGATTCTATTTGGAAAACGTTTTTCCCGGAATTACTGGTGTTAGTGTAAAATATTTACTTGCTTTTGTGCTTAGAACTTGGTGTCTAAGGTAGTGAGTGCTGTGGTAAGCTAAATTATATATAAACCTTTGTCAAAAATTTAACTTCTGTTGATTGAAATTAAAAGGTTAATATTAATTTTAAGATTTTAAATTCAAGTTTTATTGTTTACGAGTTTGGTTCAATTTTATATTTGATTTATTCAATGATACATTAATTTTATTGATTTGTTTGTTTATTTAATGTAAGTCATTCCTTTCTTATATACAATACTTGAATAATATTATATTTGTCTTGTATAAGTGATTTCATAATAAAAATAAAAAGTAAAATCTTATTATTTCTATGTATAACCACTTTTCTCAATTGTTGCTCAATTAAAAATTTTTAATATTTAGACGTAGTCTCCTTAGGTTCTAGGCCTATGGGAGGAATTTCAAGTCTTGTGGTTACAAGAGTATCGATCCCTTGGATTATATTTCGGTGGTGTGTGAGGGCAGTTAAGTTTGCGATGGTAGTACAGTCAGTTTAAGTTACAAAGTGCTGGCAGATGATCTGGATGGGCTGTGGAGGCGTCTAACCTTCACTGAGAAGGAACTGGATAGTCTAACACCGGAGGGTAGTGGTTTGCAGGTAAGATTCTTAGTCTACATCCTTTTAATAAGGAGGCAATGATGAGCACTTTCAAAATTGTGTGGAGACCAGTAAAAGAAGTGGAAATCATGGTGTTGGAAATTGGAAGAAAACCTTTTTTCTTTTTAAGTTTGCAACGAAGGCAGATAAGAATATGCTCTTGAATGGTCTCCCTGGTCTGATGTTGAGTGTTTCAATTTAACTATACTGGGCAAGCAAGGATGAAGACTGCGGAAAAATAAAGACTCGCAGCTTAATAAGGTGCTGCGAGCAAAATACTTTCCTAACCCATCGTTTTTGGTTGAGCCCTTGGCTCAAATCCTTCGTTCACATGGAAGAGTATATAGATGACTCGAGATGTCCTCCATTCGCGTCTGCAATGGCGAATTGGCGATGGGAATCTGGCTAGGATATGGCTTGATAAATGGCTCCCAATTAATACATTGCTGGCCTCTCCAATTAACTACAACCAGCTACAAGAAGATGTACTAGTTACAGAGTTGATAGAGCATGAAACCAGACAGTGGAAAACTGAGTTGATCTATAGTATTTTCTCTAATGAAGAAGCGGACCTGATATGTAGTATTCCACTTGTGAGGTTTATGCATGGAGATGACTTAGTGTGGAGTGCTGAAAAGAAGGGGGCGTACTTGGTGAAAAGATCATACTGAATCCTCCTTAACTAGCAACACAATGGGATCAAGAACAAGATGAGTAGAATCATGGCATATCAGGAAACAATATCTGGTCAAAGCTATGGAGTGCTGAGATCCCAAAAAAAGTGAAGGTCTTCGGGTGGAGATTGAACCTTGACATACTATCGGTATTCTGCAACCTTCATTGACATCCAAACATCATGCCCAAGATGTTGACGGCATGAGGAAACACTGCTCCATACGAGTAGGGACTATGAAGCTGCAAGAGAAGTTTTAGGACGCTACTGGAATTGACAGGGTGTGGACAAGGTAGGAATATGAGACAGACAAGGGGTTACTGGCTAGTAAGTTGGACTAATCGACAAAAACACCGAAAAGGGGCTGCCTGCGAGTTGGGCTATCTGGCATAATAGGAACCTAGTGGTTAAAAACAATGAGCGGAGGAATGCTAATTCAACAGTAAGGTTTACTATCAATTATTTGGAGGAATTCCGGAGGGTCAGTAGTCCAAAGAAACACAACATAAGGAGCGAGGAAAGCGGAAAGCGCCGCCATCTGACATGGTCATACAAGAATATTATTAGGATTCTTTAATAATTTAACCAAGAAATTCATATAAGAATCTTAGTTAATTAAATTAATGTTAATTATGAAGGCTACCCAGAAAATATTTTTCAAACAAATATATTGCCGAAGTACCGATAATTATTAGGATTCTTTAATAATTTAACCAAGAAATTCGTACAAGAATCTTTAGTTAATTAAATTAATTTTAATCATAGTGGCCAGATACGATCCTCTTAATTAATTTATTGTTTCAGCCCCAGTCTCGGCAATCTTTACATGATTATAGTGTTACACCGAAACAAGCTAGAAAAAAGACCAAGGTCAAGGTGATTTATTATATTAATATGCTTCATCCTTATGTTCAAAGGTTTCAAATAATAGTGAAATTTAAGAGAAAAGGAGGGAATTTTACAGAACATCTGTTGTCAATATTTACAATTTCTTGGATTATATATTTTGGATTTTAAATTTCAGACTTAGTGTACAATATGAATTCATTGTTTCTATTCCACTTTGATTTTGAAAGATTTAGGAGAAGTAAATTAAAATATTGTTTGAGCTTTATTTAAGATTTTTTTTTCTCTACCTTTGTGTTGGTGTAGATGAAGCAGTCCCACTACCAATGACTATAGCCACATCCGATGTATTTTTTATAATGTTAATATAATTTTTTTTACACTCTTGATCTAATCTGTTTTTAATTCCGTGCTCTGTGCGTTACTTTTTAGATTCCTTTAAAATTTTCAGAAAAGTAGATAGAGTAAAAATACACCCATGTGGTATTATTAGAATAGTATTAAGCTTTTAAGGATAATAATTATTTCTCCAATTATTCCAAATGCCTCACTTAAACCTTCTTTATAGAGAAGTTTTTATCCCTCCACGGTACCTTTGTTAAGTCTATACCATTGCTATTAAATTCAATGTGTCAGATCTTTCTTGTGAACTCATCCACTTAATTAAGAGAACATCCCTCTCCTAGGACAAATAGATTTGTTATTAAATATTTTCTTATTATTTGCAATGAAAAATTTATTGTTGCGCAAAAATTATTTGTAACAATAACATTGATAGTTAAATTTATCTAAATTGTTGCAAAAAAGAAAATCAACAATGATAAATTATTGTTTTGTAAGTAGTTTTGTTAATGACTATAATCTTTATGAAACTTGACTATTGAAATGATAATGTCAATGATATTTTAATAATAATCTAGTAATATTCTAGAATACTGATATTATTCTAGTAATATTTCATTAATATTTTAGATTGATTTGATATAACTTAGAGAATATTAGATATTGATTTAGTTGATTATAATAATTGATTTAGTCATATTTTTATTGATTGTATTTTTTATTTTCTAATATTTTATCTTTTTATAAATAGGCTTTAAGCCTCATTGTAATATACAAGTCATTAAAATAAAATTTTCATAATTTTCTCCTTTTTTATGATATCAAAATAATTTCATGGTTCATTCCGAAAGTGAATCACCTTGGTATAACTAATATTTGTTTATTTTCATCGTTGGTTTATTCTCCTTTCTAAACTTCATTTTTTGCTTCCTCGCTTCAATTTTTTTGGGTTGCTCTTCCTATCTTCAAGATTCATCTTTTAGATCAATACTCATAACTTCCCAAATCTCTATTTTTTTTTCAAGAGCTTAATGGCAAGTATTCGATGAGAAAATATACAACCAATTTCCATTATCCTTTATGAAAATAGCTACAGTAGGTTGGCTACGACTATGTGTAGTTATCTATAGGGAATGAAATTATAGCTTGTTGTTACTAGAGAATGCAAAGCATCGAAAAGAAAATTAGAAGAATTTGGTGATAAATTTATAGATTGGGTAGAGGAATGGGAAAGTAAGAATCATCGAATTTTGACGTGGTTCACTAACACCACTATTTCTTTTATCAATATATATTTTGGGCAATTTGAACTTAATAAAGATGCTTGAAATTTTTTATACACATGATATAGTTTTACTACCCTTGCTTATCAATATCATATTTTAACCACTTTATCTCACTTTTGTTAAGAATCAAGTCAGTCGATTGATGATTTTCATTCTAAAATGCAAATTTATGGGACATGCTTGAAAATTTGGAGCCAAAATTCAAATATAAAAGTTCTGCTGGTAATTTTATTACTTATCAAAATCAAATTTGTCTTATTCAATTTCTAATGGCACTTCGAGATAAATTTGAGAATACTAAGTCTTCGCTTTTGCGCTGACATCCCTTACCAACTATGGATAATGCTCTTATGGAATTAATATTTAAGGAAACTTGGTTAGGTATGAGTCGAACGCATAGTGTTGATACTATTATTGCTATTATTTCTAAAAAAAGTATCAGCTTTACTTTTCACAAGTCTTGTTCACGATGTGGGAGGACTAATTATCCCATTTTAAAATGTAAAGCTAAATATCATTATAACAATAGTCAAATTAATAATCCTCACACTAATAAGACTACTCCAGTAACAACCATTGAACCAAACACTTCTGAGTATTTTTCTGAGGCATTTACAATCTCCACCACTGATCTTCAAACTTTGTTCAATCAAGTATTATTTCAATCTCATATTCCTGCCATGTCTACTGCTATATCAGGTAATGTTTGGTTCTTTGGCCTGTAGAAATCATATGATTACTAACCCTTCTTTGTTTAAAAGTAAGATATCTGTACCTAATAGTCCAATAATTAAAACAGCAAATGGATTTGTCTTAAAAGCTAGCTATATTAGTAATATTGAAACTTCAAAATTATGTATATCTAACACTTTCCTTGTTCCTAATGTTTCTTAAATTTGCTGTCTATTGGTCAACTTTATGACCTGGGTCTTGATTTGCATTTTCAAAATGATATGGCTGTATTGTTCAAGATTCTCAAATAGGTCAAAAAGTTGGGATAGGGCGTAAAGTTGAAACGTTGTTTGAGCTTGAAACTTTGAAAATTCCACAATATTTGCTTACTGTTGCTACAACCAACTTTTCAATTTCTTTAGATTTATGGCATTCTAGGCTAGGATACGCATCTGTTTCTTGAATAAAGTCACTAGTTTCCACTAGTGTCTTAGGTAATGTTTATCATGATATTTTTGATTGTTTGTCTTGTCAACTTAGAGAGCAAAGTGCTTTACCTTTTAATAAAAGTGATTCTATCTTTTTTTTTTTTTATTTAATCCATTATGATATTTGGGGTCCTAATCCCACACCAACCTTAAGAGGTTCATGTTACTTTATTATATTTATTAATGATTTCTTTTGTTATACTTGGATATATTTTTTCAAACAAAAAACTAAACTTTTATCCATTTTTTGTAAATTCAAAAACATGATACAAACTCAATTGTCTAGAAAAATAAAAATTTTTAGGTCTGACAATGCTGCTGAATATACATAAATTGAGTTTCATAACTTGTTAAAGGATGATGAGACTCTTCCTCATAGGTTTTGCCTATATGCTTCACAACAAAATGATCGAGCAGAAAGAAAACATCATTATATTCTTGACACAGTTTGTGCCCTTTTCATTTCCTTTTCTCTTCATGAACATTTTTGGGGTGAAGTTGCTCTCACTGCTATTTACACTATTAAACGTGTTACTACATTAGTATTAGACACACAGTCTCCTTATGAGTGTCTATACAATAAGGTACCTGATTATCATTTTTTCAAAGTTTTTGGATGTGCTTACTTTGATCTACTTCCTACTCATGAAAGGACTAAACTTGAACCCAGAGCTAGATTGTGTTATTTTTTAGGTTATGGTATAGAACACAAAGCGTATAAGTGTTATGATCCAGTGTCTAAATGTTTTCATATCTTAAGACATGTAATTTTTTAGGAACATAAAAAGTTTACTAGTGTGTCCTCATTACATTCACCATGTTCTTCTCTATGTATTTTTACTTATTCATCTTTTGATTTTTTTTCAAATAAAGAGACTATTATAGGTACTTCCAACTTAAACAGTGATCCATTTCTTTTATTCCTACTATGTCTGATCTGATTGAGGCTCTTATTAATGCAGTTGTTCCCTTCTTATACATACCACCTCAATTTCATCATTCTACTTGAGTAAGGGACCCCAACATTCAATTTTGTGATTTTTATTGTTATTATGCTTTAGCCACATTACATGAACCTCACAATTTTTGTGAAGTTATTTCTAATCTTATGTGATAGCAAGAAATGACAAAAGACCTTCAAGCTCTTGATAAAACTCATACTTAGGATATTGTTGAATGACCTTCTGATAAATCAAAGATTGATTGTAAGTGGGTCTACAAGATCAAGACTAGATCTAATGGGTCAGTGGAATGTTACAAAGTTTGTCTTATTGCTTGAGGATTTACATAAAAATATAGCATTGACTATGAAGAGACTTTTGCCCAAATTGTACGTCTCACATCTACTTGTTCATTATTTGCTGTTGTTGTAGCTAAAAAGTGACCAACCTTTCAAATGGATATTAAAAATACCTTCTTGAATGGTGATCTTGCTGAGAAAGTCTATATGAAACCACCTTTTCATTCATCTATACTTTTCAACATGGTTTATCATCTTTGAAATACTTTATATGGTCTTAAGCAAGCCCATAGAGCTTGGTTCTCAAAGTTTAGTACCATTGTTGCATAACTTGGATTTACATTTAATAATTATTATTTTGTCATTTTTATTTAAACTATTGAAAATGGTACTACTCTTCTCTTACTTTATGTAGATGACATGATCATTACAAGTAATGATGCAAATGGTATTCAAGATTTGAAAACTTTTCTTCATTCTAAGTTTGAGATGAAAATCTTGGTTTTTGAGTTATTTTTTAGGTCTTGAAGTCACCAATGATTTTGCTAGCTTACATTTGTCTCAAACAAAGTATGTTTTTGATCTTATTACTTGAGTAGGTTAACTAATAGCAAGATTGCAACATCACCACTTGAATAGAATTTGAAACTTTCTCCTTCTGATGGTACACCACTTTTAGACCCTTTTTTGTATCAAACTCTAATGGGTAGTCTTATATACTTGATAGTTACTTATCCAGACATTACCTATGCTGTTCATTTGGTTAGTCAATTTTTGTTTGCTCCTCAATCTACTCATTTTGCTACGGTCATTCAAATCCTATGATATGTCAAGGGTACTATGTTTCATGGTTTGCATTTTTTCTCTAGTTTTTCCTTGGATTTACGTTATTATGGTGATGGTGTTTGGGTAGAAGATCTTATTGATCGTGGTTCTACCATAGGCTACTATTTCTTTTTTGGTTCTTCTCTTATTTCTTGGTAAAGTAAAAAACAAATTGTGGTGTCTTGCTCTAGCACTGAAGTTGAGAATTGAGCTCTTACAAATGCCACATCAGAACTTCTTTGGTTATGATGGCTAATTTAGAATATGAGTGTTTCTTATCACTTTAGCACTATTATATTTGTGATAATTAAAGTGCCATTCAGATAGCTCACAATGATATTTTTCATGAGAGTACTAAATATATTGAAATTGATTGTCACTTCATTCGTCACCATTTGCTTACTTAAACTCTTTGACCTATTCTCGTTACCAATGTTGATAAAAAATCAGATATTTTCACCAAAACACATCCACTTGGTCAATTTTTTATCTAAGTTTCCAAACTCAAGTTGGCCTCTATACTACCATTTTGAGTTTGTTGGGGGGTATCAATGATATTCTAGTAATATTTTGATAATATTCTAGGTTGATGATATTATTTTAGTAATATTCTAGATTAATTTGATATTAAATTGAAGAATATTAGATATTGAATTAGTTGATTATAGGAATTGATTTAGTCATTATTTCTATTAATTGTATTTTTTATTTTGTAACATTTTATCTTTGTATAAATAGGCTTTAAGCCTCATTGTAATATACAAGTCATTACAATAAAGTTTTCATCATTTTTTCCTTTTTCATGTTAAAGTGGATTATCTCATATCTAATAAATTTCTAATATCATGTGGTCTTATATTCAAGTTAGGATCTTTCACTTACAACCAATTGATTTTACATTGAATGCTTAACATAGAATCAAAGCCAATAGTCCTTTTTGTTACCCTTTCTAAATTTGTTATGTGCAAGGCTTCTTTTATCTTCATCTACATATGATGGGGGCCTGTTAAAATAGGTTATCTCACATCTAATAAATTTTTAATATCTTGTAGTCTTATATTTAGGTTGGGTCCTTCCACTTATAGTAGTAAGCAAATGTTGTGGAATTTTCAAAGTTTCAAGCTCAAACAGTGTTCCAACCTTACACCTTGTCCCAACTTTCTGACATGTTTGAGGATCCTGCACAATATAGCCATATCGTTGTGAAAAAAGAAAATCAAGACAAAGGTCACAAAGTTAGCCTACAGAAAGCAAATTTAAGGTAAGATTAGGAATAACATAAGTGCCAAATATACATAGTTTTAAGGTTCAATATTACCAATGTGGCTAGCTTTAAGATAGATCTAGTTGCTCTTTTAATGATTAGACCAGTAGGTACATGTATCATGCTTTTGAACAAAAAAGGATCAGCAGTTTTATGATTTACACAGGCAGTATCAAACAACCAAACATTACTTGATATGGTTGTAGACATGGCAAGAACATGAGATTGAGATAATACTTGATTGAACAAAGTTTGAAGATCAGTGGTAGAAATTGTAATGGCCTTAAAAGAAGATTCAGAAGTGTTTGATTCAGTAGTTATTACCGTAATAGTCTTGTTAGTACGAGGGTCATAAATTAGACTACCATTATAATCATATTTAGCTTTATATTTCTGAATGGGATGATTAGTCCTCCCACATTGTGAACAAGACTTGTAAAAAATAGAGCTAGTACTTTTTTGAGGAGCAAACAACAATAATAGTATCAACACTATGAGTCCAACTCATACCCAATCGAGTTTACACAAATATCAATTCCATAAGAGTATTATCCATAGTTGGTAAGGGATGTTGATGTAAAATTGAAAACCTGGTATTTTCAAATTCATCTTGAAGTACCTTTAAAAATTGAATAAGACTAATTTGATTTCGATAAGTAATAAAATTACCACACCATTTTCATCTTTGAATTTTGGCTCAGAATTTTCAAGCATGTCCCATAAATTTTACATTTTAGAATGAAAATCATCAATCGATTGACCTAATTCTTGACAAAGGTGAGATAAAGTGGTCAAAATATGATATTGATAAGCAATGGTAATAGAGCTGTACTGTGTGGCAAGAAAATCCCAAGCATCTTTAGTAAGTTCAAATAGCCCAAAATGTACATTGATAGAAGAAATAGTGGTGTTGGTGAACCATGTCAAAATTCAATAATTCTTACTTTCCTATTCCTCTAGCCGATCTACAAATTTATCATCAAATTTTTTTCTTTTCTTTCTAGTGCTTTGCATTCTCCAGTAACAACAAGCCATAATTTCATTCCTTTTAGATAACTTTGAATAACTATAGCCCACATATTGTAGTTATTTACATCAAGGATAATGGAAATTGGTTATACATTTTCTCATTGAATACTTGCCATTAAGCTCTTAAAAAAATGGAGATTTGGAAATTATGAGTATTGATATAAAAGATGAACTTGAAGATGGGAAGAGAAACCCAAAAAATTGAAGCATGAAAGCAAAAAATAAAGTTTAGAAAGGAGAATAAACCAATGATGAAAATAAGCAAATATTAGTTATTCCAAGGTGATTCACCTTTGAAATGAACCATGAAATCGATTTGATACCATGAAAAAAGAGAAAATGATAAAAACTTTATTGTAATAACTTGTTTATTATAATGAGGCTTAAAGCCTATTTATATAGAGATAAAATGTTACAAAATAAAAAAAATGCAATCAATAAATAATGATTAAATCAATTCCTATAATCAACTAAATCAATGTTTAATATTCTCCAAATTAATATCAAATCAATCTAGAATATTACTGAAATATTACTAGAATAATATCATCAATCTAAAATATTACTAGAATACTACTAGAATGTCATTGACAGACAAAAAAATTATTGCCAAAGGCCATTTACAATAATATTATGTTGCAAAAAGTTATTAAGCAATTAAATAATGTTATGTAAACATATTTTGTGATCAAATATATGATTGCTAAAACAAAATTTAAACAATCACATTTAGCCATTGTTTAACAAAATTTATTTACCAAAAGCAAGAATTCATTGCAATAAATATATTGAAAACTAACTTAACATATGATCAACGACTTGTGACATTACAGGCAACAATTTTTTGTTGTTGTTAAAATTATTTTAAAATGATAAATTAATATTTTACAATGATTTTAAATATTATTAAAAGTAATTTTTCTAGTACTATTGCCACTACAGTTCACATAGCATCTTGAGAAATAAAATAGTTAAAACTAATCATATTTATTGTCCTTTTCGATTATGAATAAATCAGTTCTTCCCCTTCTTATGGCGTGGGTTGCATATACCACATAATTTCCCTTCTTGTGGCATGGTACTTGTTTACTCGCTTATGGCCCATCATCATGTGGCAAAGGAAAATCTATGCTAATTCCATTGTGTTCCACTATAGCATTAACAAAACATCCCAAGTTTAAAAAATCATAAAAGAGAAAAAAAAGATAAATGAAATAGAAAGGAAT